CTCAGGACCTTGTGCTTGCCAGGCTGATGTGGCACCACTGTTACATCCCTAGGCCTGGGTTGGTTCATTCTTGTGCATGTGGATATCCAGTTTCCCCAACACTACTTACTGAAGAGGCTGTCCATGCTGAATAGTCCCTCACACTATTGTCAAAAACTGACCATAAACGTATAGAATTCTGAGTTTTATCATATTCCACTGGTTGATATATTTTATGTCAATACTATGAAGTTTTAATACAATTTTATAATTTGATATACAGTAGTATGATGTTCCAGTTTTATTCTTTTTGCTCAAGATGATGGTTCCATACAAATTTTAGGATTTTTTTTTCTATATCTGTTAAGAATGACATGGGGATTTTGATAGGAACTGCACTGAATGTGTAGAGTGCTTTGGGTAATATGGACATTTTCGCAATATTAACTATTCCGATCCATGATGTTAGGACATCATTGCATTTTTTGTGTCATTTTCAATCTCTCTTATTGATGTTTTACAGTTTTCTGTGAATAGATCTTTCCCCACTTTAATATGATTTTAATTTTTTTATCCTATTGTAAAATGGTAATATTTTCTTCTTTTCCAGCTTGCCATTAATGTGTATAAATTACCACTGATTTTTGTGCTTTTTAAGTATGTTGATTTTATATTCTGCAAATTTATTAAATTCTTTTATCAGTTTTAATAGATTTTTGGTGGAATATTCAGGTAATTCTATATACAAAATAATGTCCACAGAAAAATTTCACTTCTTCCTTTTTTGTTTGGATTCCTTTTATTGCTTTTTCTTGGCTAACTGCAACAAAGCTGGAATCTGTCTTGTTCACGATCTTTTAAGAAAAGCCTCAAGTGTTCACCATTAGGTATGATGCCAACTGTTGGCTTGTCATATAACATCCTTTACTGTATTGAGGAACATTCCCCTTATATCTAATACGTTGAGTTTTTATCATGAAAGGAAGCTAAATTTTAACAAATATTTTTTCTACATTTACTGAGATATCCATACAGTGCTTGCCCATCATAGTGTTTTAAAATATTATAGAAGACCAATAGGAAGCACAGAGTGTCCTTGACAATACAAGAACATGAAATAATTCATCTCCTACTACTCTGAAAAATAACTGGACACATCTCTTTTATAGTCATAGTCTCAAATGATTAGGCCATAATTTTATACTAAAATAATTCTTATTCTACAATAATGAACTAATGCTTTATAGATATTAATTGCTTCAGAGGCAAACTAAGAACAAACATCTTCTTGGACAGTAATCATCAAACAATACACACCTAAATTTTGTCATTTACAGTCACTCGAAGCAGTCTCATACAACAGAAACTAACCAAACACCTTCTGCTATAAATCCACTAGTACTTTAAAGAACTAAAAACAAAAGAGGATGCCCTTGAATCTTCTTGCCAGATCTAATAAGTAAATATACTTTGCTTACCTTAAAACATATAATGTAAAACATCTAATGTAGACAGATCTAAATTACTGTCAACTATTCTAATCTTCTATGGCGTTGTTGCTCTATTAATGTTTTCAAATCACTAAGGAGAGGGAGGCTTATAACCAAGTTGTGTGACTATTCCATTTGCAAAGAGAAACACCTCCTGCTGGGGGCTTCACACATGCAAAGACAACTTAAAAAAAATAAATTCAGAATTCAGCCAACTTGTCAAATTCATTCCAAACAAACCAAAGTATTAAGCAGCCACAAAAGAAAGCTATTATAAGCCAGGTGTAGTGGAGCAGGCCTATATAATCCCAGCATGCAGGAGGGCTGAGGCAGGAGGACTGCCATGCGCTTAGGGCCAATTTAGGACAGCCTGCACTACAAAGCAAGGCCCTGTCTCAAAAAACAAAAAACAGAAATAAAATAACAACAAAAAACTACAAAGCAGTATTACATGTAACATTTTCCCTCCGATTATCTGAAATCAGTATTAAAAATGGTCAGAAAAGAAAATTTTTTACTTTCTCCTAAAACTTTTTTTTTTCTTTCCCAGCACCAGGGATTGAACTCAGGACCTTGTTTGTAAGGCAGGCATGGCACCACTGAGCTAAAACCCTGGCCCTTTGTTTTTTGATACAAAAAACACTATATAATTCACAATGGCCTTAAACTCATCATGTACCCAAGGCTTTCCTTAAACTTGTAGCAATTCTCCTGCCTCAGCATCCCGAGAGTACTGGAATTACAGGTGTACACACTCAGCTCTAAAACTCATTTTCAATTTTGTTCCCTAAGTTATTTAATGTTTTAAGTGCCACTAAGGGCTAAGGATTTGGCTCAGAGGTACTGCTACCTACCTCAAAAGTTCAAGGTCCTAAGTTCGATCCCCAGAACAAAAAACAAACAAACAAAAAGAAATAAAGTGCCATAATAAATTATGACCTGATAATTATACAAGCTAATATAAAATTATGATTTGCTTTTTCTTTTTTTGAGCTGTAATACTCAAAACCAAAAACCCACGTTCTAGGTTCTATAGTATGCCTAGAAAATAAGATGAATGAAAATATGTCTGCTCTCACAGACCAGTTTAGTAAGTAATATAAACATATATAGAAATAAATTGCAATGCCACATAATATAACAAATAAAGTAGCACAAGGAAGACAAACCCAGAATGTCAGAAGGTTTCATGGAAACATCCATACTGGATTTTCAGGGAACCCAGGAATTTGACAGAAATTAAAGGTTAATTTTTTTCTCCCCATTACCCAAGATTAAACTTGGGACCTTGCACTTGTGAGGCTGGCAGCAGAGCGACTGAACTAAATCCCCAGCCCCAGGTCAATTTTTTAATGTAAGAAACTACAAGAAAGACAAACTTAATCTAAAGTTAAAGAAGGCAGATCAGTGGTTTCTGAGGGTTGGGGGTGGGGTTTGGTGATCAGGGATCAGGAATGGGAAAGGATATGAGAACCACTGAATTTATGGAAAATATCCTGGATAGACTGTAGTGATGGTTACCTGAGCATATTATATACATTTGTTAAAGTAATCAAACTGTATACTTATATATTTATCATACATAATTTATACTTTAATAAAATTCATTTTTAAAAAAAGCAAATGGACTACTTGTTTCTAAAAGTCTTCTATATTTCAATGAATCATAAGGTAGTTATCAGGATTCTGTGAAGCAGAAAAGTTTTCTCTAAATAAACAGAGTTTAAGGCTCCAGTACTGTTTCTTATTTTAGAGTTCTCCTAAAGATGTAATGTGCAAAATATGTAGAGCTTGGCAGAGTTCCAAACACAACAGGCTATTTTTGCATTTATATAATATTGCTACTATAAACAGCATTTTTATAATACATTTTCCTATTTATAATATAATTGTTTAATTTGTAAGAGAATGTGATATTAGGATTCAGAGCTCTCTCTAGTTGGCTTGACAATTCTGAGCAAGTTAATTCATATCTTTGGGATTATTTCAATTTTAAAATAAGAAAGCTGGTATCCTATTTACTTTGCTTATTGCTGAGACAACATATTCGACACCCAAAGTTAAAGGAAGAAAGGTTTCTTTAACTCTCAGTTTGAAGAAGTTTCAGTCCATAATTGGCTGGCTCAAAGGCAGGGTGGCATGGCAGACGGGCATTGCAGAGGAGAAACATTTTATGGCAAGCAGAAAGTAGCAAAACAATAAGGTATGACCACAGCTCTTTCTATCCCTTATATCTTATCCAGACTACTTAGGAGAGGCAGCACTCACCAGGAATCAATTTCAGTATCACACACTCTAGATCCACTTACCTATGAAAAAGCACATCTATGACTGCATGACTGTACCCCCCCCTTGGGGGGTACATCTAAACATAAGCCATAAGTTGGTTTCTTATGATTTATTTCATTTAAAGTATTAAAACATCCTCACATAGTTGAATCTACATATAGAACCTCAAAATAAAACCCCTAAGTCTCAGAAGTTGAAAGTGATATGTAAAACTTATATCAAGTACACTGAATATTAGAAGTGTTTTCTCCAACTTAAGATGTTAATTAATTTTACTTATGATCTATTACTTCTTATAAGCTATTCATTCAGGTTCTTCTAAAATTTCATGGTGCCAGGTATCTTAGTTTATTATTTAGACATGTTTTCACTGCAAATGAAGAAACACAGGGTAATAGAGATTAAATATTGTGCTCAAAATTTTTTTGCAAGGACAAAATTGTTACAACAAATGTTTCCTACATGACTTTTGCAGAAAACGTTATAGAAAGAATTTGATGGGTAAATACTAGCCAAAATATAGTAAAATATTTAGTTGGAAGGCTATACAATAAAAAATAATACTACTTGTAGGGAGAGGGTCTTTTTCCCTTTTTATTTTCTGGATTATTCAAAAATTTCCAACACGAATCTGTTGATTCTATTATTTAAAAATAAGCCTGGAATCATAGATTGTATTTCCCTTTTATTTTCTATACTTGCAGAACAAAAGTTTTTTTCAATTTTTTCTTCGTATTAACAATTTTTAATTTCACGTTAATTTTTTTAATAAAACTGTGTATCTGACAGTTTCATGGTTAATTTAGTTGCTTAGAGCACAGTAACAAAGGTTACAGGTTTGATTAATTATATCTGCAAAGAATAAAAATATCCCTTGTTCACAGAATGCACTTTTAACTTTAGTCATCTGGAAAACTTGTGTTGCTAATCACAAGAATGAATCAGGTAAAAGCATGTGGCTGACTCAATATAAAACATTAATACTGGAAAATAATTCTAATGTCTACTGACAGAGGATAAGAGTGTATGTATACAGCAGTCACTCATCTCCAGGTAAATGTTTTTCCATAGCAATCAACCCATTCCTCTTCTAAATAAATATAAATAAGACCTTAAACAAGAGTTTGTTTTTAAAAAGTCTTTGTACTTTTAGAAAAGCTAAAAATGGTGTCACAAAACATAATTTAAAAATATTATATACTTGATTTAGTTATTATATAAACACCAAGTAAAATACTATACCTGTAACATCTTCTGGATCTGATACAACAATATGTGCATTCAATTCCTGTAGCTTGTGATGTAGTTCTTCTAACTTCTTATTTGATTTTTTCAAAATGTTGTCTACATAAGCCAAACTTTTTTTATCTGTTGTGACTTTCCTTAGATTTTCAGCTCCTTCTTTGATTTTCAGTTCTTTCCTTATCTCTCTCTTGATTCGATCCTTGATATCATCCAATTTCTGTTGCACCATTGTATCTGAAAAGTCTAATTTCTGAACAGCGCTCACATTCTCAGAAAGTAGAAGTGTTTGGGAATCCCCCTACCAAAACAACAACAAGAACAAAGATATTAAAGGAAAATTAACTTAGGAAAGTTAGCTGCTTAGTAAAATATACAGCTTTAAAGATAATAGTGTTTTTAGCATAAGGAGATCTTAATTATACATTTAATTCCTCAATAAAGAATGGTTTACTAATTTACCTTTGTTATAATCAAAACCGTTAATTCAAAAACTGCCCATGCACTAAGCAGCATCATTACTTGATAAATTTATAAAGATAAAATAAGCACAACATATTTACACATAAAGACATCTCAGGGTTGGATAATAATAGTGGATTTGATAATCTAAAAACTCAAGTTAGATTCCAACTCCAACACTGTGAACTTTGGTGAAGTCATTTAACCTTAAATATTCAGTTTAATTGTAAAAATTAAATACTATTAGCTACCTTTTAGAGATAGTAATAATTAAAAATATTAAAGGGGAAATTAAAAATAGAATTCTTGGTTCACTGTAGTCACCTAATAAAGGTATTATTAAATTAGGTGAGTAATTTTATCTTGTGCAGTGGGCATGTTTCTGAAATGCCAGCCCTTGGAAGCTGAGGGACACTTCGTTTCAGGAGTTCAACCAATCTAGGCAATGCAACAAGACTTCTCACAGAGAAAACAAAAAATCTCAGAATGGCAAAATAAAATGATACCCATATGGCCATTTTTTAATGAGTCAAATTTCAGTTTGAGAAGACTATCAGATTGCCATGCATATGTTTAAGAGTCAACTATCCCAATTGATAATTTGATTGACATTATTATCGGAAAATATCTCTAAGTTATATCATAATAAAAGCCAAGATAATACCAAGTAGTTATTAACCTTAAAATGAAAATCTGTAGGTATATTTAATATATATTTAAAATAGCCGAAGTTATCTTCTAGTTATCTATATACTTTTCACTATTTTATCCATCACTGTAATAGTATTCTTAATTTTTAAAAAAAATTCTAAAAGATGAAAGTAGTGATGTTTACCTCTGGGAACAGTTGAATTTGTGAAGGACATAGAAAGGAAGAAGATATATTTCACTGTACAGCTTTTTATGCATCTTTTAAAGCATAGAATTAATTAAAAATTTTTGGCTAATTTCTTTGGGAACTCATCACACTCATATAAGTTGTTTATAAATTGTTGGCAAAATACTTTTTATATCTAATTCTTGATTTCTAAATAATATGAATTGTGCAAAATAGTGGAAAATATGAGCTAAAGAAAAACATGGGTTTTTCTATTATTGGCTTACATACCAACTTAACCCTGTAATCACAAGCACATTATATAAAAATGAAATCGTTAATTTCTATGAATCTGTTTGTAACGATTCATGGCTGAGAATTCTATTGAAGTTCAGACCAAAAAAAAAAAAGGTAGAAAAAATAATGCTTATATGTATAATTTCCAAGTTTCATTAGGTTAAGAATTCCCGGAATACACAATGTACGCCTTTTGGCTTTAAATTCTCATTTTTATCTATGCGGACATAGGATGAACTTTGACCTAGGACAAATGTTATATAGGTTTTGCTGTAATGGAATTCCAGTCCTATCATTTCTTTAGTTTTCAAAGTTTATGAATCCACCTTTTATTAATTATTAAAACAGTAACAAATATAACTATCACAAAAAATAAAATTCCACATTTCTGTCTAGTTTCATGAAAAGCAAACTGATATAATACACAAAAAACAGTTTAATACCCTTCTTCTAGTTATATTTCAATCCTTATAAATTTATCAGAAACATTACACAAAATAACAAATTTGTGCCTTACACTATGTACTAAGCCACAGGCTCTCAAAATGTCTTAATTTATGGTAACCTCAGCATCTCAGTAAATATTTTTCTTATTCCCCTATAGACCAAAAGAAGTACCTAACAGTTTAGTTAACAGAGTAGAAAGGGACAAATAATACTTATGTTTTAATAACTTAGTCACTTTCTGAAATAATAGATAAATAGAAAGAGAACTATTTTTTTAAATAATCTTTGCTTATTTCAACTCCCACTTTTTTCCATTTGCTCCCTAAATTCCTGCCATATTAAATTATGCACATTTACTAAGAGACCGCTCTCTTGGCTCATTTGCAATACATGCTGTGTTTTTGAGAAGTACTGCCTCTCTTTTGATCTTCAACTAAGTTCCTTCTTGGTCCAATTATCTTTTATTTTGTTTCAAAATTCACCACAACTTTTTCTGGGAAAGATCTCCTACCCAGTCACCTTCTGTAGGATATAGCTAAATGACTCTCCTCCATCCTCCGAATCCATGGATCTTATTTATTCAAGTAATTAACCCTTTTATTATCTAATCATTCAAAAGACTCTGAACTACTGAGGGCAGGACTTGTGTGGCAGATTAGTATCTTTTTAAAATTGTTTTGTCTGTCTGTGTGTGTATTATGTATGTATGTATTTATTTATTTATTTTGAGACAGGTATGGTATGGTTTTGAGTTCAGGCTGGCCTCGAAGTCACAGCAATCCTCCTGTCTCAGCCTCCCAAATGCTGGAATTACAGGTATGTGACACTATGCCTGGAGATTTGTCTATTTTTAAAATGATTTAATATTTTTCTTTTAGAATTCAGGAAAACTCGTCACTGCCTAAAAACTTACACTACTTCCTCATTCTCATAAATAATGCTTGTACTCCAGGAAGCTCACAGGGAAAACTTTCAGTCACTACAATAGTTAGGTAGGAACTAAATATGGTTAGCATCTTTTCTTCTTCCTTTCCATAGATCTGATATTTTAGTAACCATGTTTAGTAACCATTTCAACCTTTTGTTGTGACATAGCTCAAATGCCTTTTAGAAAAAGGAATACACACAACATAATTTAGAACAAATAAAGGCCCCTTGACAGCTAAGGTTCCAATATCACTATTTTTCTAAAAATTTTAGTTGAAAACTTTAAGATATTGGATAGTATAATTTTCTTACATTTGAAACAACTGAAATAAAATATCTGATCGATTAAATTATGCTCCTATGCTTAAAACAAACAATTACTGCAGATCATAATGTCAGGAGTCATTACTAGACAATGAAATAACCTACTATTGACCTGGATAAGTTAAATTAGTTGTCATCAGGAAAATAAATAGCTGCATACTCAATGACAATGTTTACTGATAATCTTTTCAGTAGATTCTGTTACAGGCAAAAGCAATTATCTGCACTATGAGTATCCAACAATTTGGCTTGTGTGAGCCATACTATGTGAAGAGAAAATGTCTTGGGCTGCATATAAAATATGTATTATAGTTATGTATGTAAGAAACACAACTCTATTTTTAATATTTTTATTATAACAGTAAAAGAGGGCAACATAACCCTAGTGGGATATTTGAACTAGTTTTTTTGAAACTAATGCATCAATGTCTGGTTCAACAGAAGAGGTTATAATTCTTAGTGAGTTCCCAAGGTGCTTGTCAGAAATTTTTTATCTAATTTTACTGTGTGTGTCAACCTTGAAATAGTTGTTCACAAGTGTACACATTGCAAAATGGGAATAAGGTTTAACTGTCAAGTGAGGGATATTTTTCTCTGGGAGGATAAGTCTTTAAATTTTTCTTTGAATTCAATGTAAAACCGTAAACACATATTCCAAACTTAATAAGCTTTTTTTTTAAGTATTAGCAATGTTTATATGTAATTATAGCAATATCATGAGCAAAAGCTATTTGAACTTCCTATATTACTACTGCTAAAAAAACAATTTCAATTTATTAAATTATTTCATAAAACAATACAATAAGCCTTAGTTTAATAATCAAAGAAGAAAACATGTTTGCTTAGTACCAATAAACATGTAGATTGAAATACTATGATTCAATACTATTACCATTTACTTGTCAAACTGAAGTAACACAGGGACCAGGGATTTAGCTCAGTGGCACTGTTCTTGCTTCACAGCATAAAGTCCTGAGTTTGATACCCAGTACCAAAAAAAAAAAAAATTTAACAACCCACATACACTTCCATTTCACAACTCTATTTGGGTTCAGCCTGGATAACATAGCAAGTTCTTGTCTCAAAGTTATAAAACATAAACAAGAAACTGGGGATATAGCTCACTGTAATGGCTTTGTATTCAATTCTAAGTACCAAAAGGAAAAAAAAAAAAATTTTCATGCTTCTCTCCCAACAGATGCCTTTCTCATCTTGCCCCCCCACCACCCAAGGGCTCAAACTCAGGACTTTGTGCTTTCTGGGCAGGTGTGGCACCACTGAGCTATATCCTCAGCCCTTTTCTCATGTTTTTAAAAAAAGTAAAGCTGGATTTAACTTCTAATAACAAACTCCCCTTTAATTTTTTAAATAAGAACAGAATGTATGCAGATGAGAAATGAAAAAGAATGCCAAAAATTAATCCTAAACACAAAACTAAGCTTCTATCAACTATGTAGGATTTGCCAACAATTATCTGTATTAAGTCAAATAATTCCACTATCTTTTATTTGTTTGTTAGTTTGTTTTTTGGTACTGGGGAATGAACTCGGGTCCTTGCGCTTGCAACGCAGGCCACCGAACTGCTGAGCTAAATCCCTGGCCCCTCCACTCTCTTTTATTATTGAAATCATAATTCTAGCCATTGCATTACATTCAAACTGATCTAACACATGGCTGTTAACATTCTTTCAGTTTGTCTTTCTTATGGTCTGTTTTTCTTGTTTTTTACTATCAAAATCTACCATCAACAATTGTTTAAAAATTAGTTCAACAGTTTTTATGATCAATCCCATCTTCCAAGGTTTAGTATACTTTAAAATCATTATCATCTGTCTTCCTAAAGCAATTATTCAGAGGGTCAAATCCAAACATGAAGAAATCACTGTGAAATAAATACTCTCAGACTCAGAGAAATTAAAATTAAGTAGGTTTAAAGTGGCTAAATAAAAGGAAACCTCAATGAATTAAAAACAGTAAAAATTACATGGATTTTTCAAGGGAACCAAAATACATGAAAAACTCAATGAATACATTAAATAGCAGG